CAGTGATCAAACCAGACACTGCATTAGCAGGGCCAAGATACCAGGCGTATTGTGATCAGTGCAAAGTAAGGAGAACTCATTTGTTAAAAAAAAATAGTTTTATTATTTTCATGATATTAAAATCCACAGCAGGAATACTTTTAATAGGAACCTCCCACGATGAGGGTGGGATTTGCCCCAGAACAGTGGTTCCAACTCTGGGTCTGCAGGGACACAGTCCACTGTAGGACTGAGGGATCTCTGCTTCAGGAGCTTTGTAAAACAAAAAGAGATCTCATTCTCTCCCTGTTAATAATAGACGGTTCTTAAAGTCTTATATCCAGTTTGTGAGTCCCAGGAGCTCCCAGTCATCTCACACTAGTGCAGGATTGCTACAGATATAAGGGAGTCCAGTCCTGCTCCTGGGAGCCACAGCACCAGTATAGCTCCAGCTGGGCTCCCAGTTGGATCGGTCAGGGCACTTAATCAGGGAGGTGTTAATGCCCTTTCTGGACCTCTGCTCACTGATCATTTAAATGCGCTTTAATAACCTACAGTGGCTCCTCTAGGTCCGAACCAGTCACCCCAGGGCTCGGACAGCTTCCCTGCTCTCTGCAGGGGGAGAGAAATGAGTCGATCCAGGACTGGCCAGAGGAGACAGGAGGACACCAGGGCCTCTGCGGTCAAAGGCAGGGCTAGATCCCTGAGCTGCCAGTCAGACTGGACCGAGAGGTGGGACGAAACCCAGCAGGAGCTAAACCCTGGCAATGGGATCCGGGTGGACCCAGGAGTGGCCCCAGCTGACCTTGAGAGAGGTCACGCTGGTGCATCAGTAGAGTTGAGCAAACCGGACGTGTTTAACGCATAATACATTACAGAAGGGCCATGTCTCGGAACAGCAAAGTACTCTATTTGCGGCACACATTTGGGAATGTACGCGTTCCCAGACACTAGCACAGGGCTGGGCAACCCCGGTGTCTCCAGGTTTTCGAGGTCTCTTCGAAGCAGCGCCTCCCGAAAATCTGGAAGAAGCTGCCGCGTCGGTCCCGTTAATAACGAGCTGATGGAGCCCGTTAATAACGAGCTGGAATGGCGCCCTGCGGACACGCAGGCCCTTGGAAGACTCGTCATTTGGCACAGAGCACAGTGACGGAGGAACAAAATATAAATATCACAGCTGCCAGAGATCCTCGGATCTTAAAGATTCATCAGAAAATAATACAACGCTTTATTAAGTAATGGAACATTAGGGCGAGAAAAGGGGTTTATGAGCAATACTGTATTGAAGTGCCTGAAGGGTGCTGTTGTGGCCAGTTGTTGGCAGCGATTAAGAAAAATAAAAGGACATTTCACCCTTGCAGTTGACTCCAATGCAGAATTTTTCCTAAACCGTTTCGGTTCATTTCAGTGGTCATGAGCTAGAGCCCTATGGCAAGGCCAGGTGCCAGTGCATGTGCAGGGCGCTGCAGCTGACTGGGACTGGAAGGGACAGTAACATGCCGGGCGACTCCGATACAAAGCCTCATGCTGTTCACACATCACTCGGCTGTTCAATTCAGACCGGAAGGCACAGGAACAGGTTCAGCCACCCACAGTGTAAAAAACACAGGGCATCACAGCGCATCGAGACAGCGTGCTCCCTGGGGGGGACCAGAATACCTAAAGCTGGGGTTCCCTAACTCCAGATCCCAGAATCCAAAAGATCCAGCAGGTTTTCTCCTGAAATCATCAACCACTCCGGGCTGCAGAGAGGCGATTAAAAAGGGCGAAGCCGGCTTAACCCTTCTCCCAGCCGAGGAGCTCTTTTAGGACTTAAACAGGCAAATAAGAAGAAAACCTGCTGCATTCTGATTTCCAGGCCCAGTGTAGGCAACCCCTGCTTTACAGAAACTCACAAGTCACATGGCTCGCTCGGCCTCCTGTGCGCAGCTGCGCTTTATAGACACTAGGTGGCAGCAGCCGCACGTCACCGAGGACGCGCGTTCCTGCCTTCAAAAAGAATGATGTGAAGGGGTACCCCTTCACTTCGGGTTTAGTATTAGGACTAAAGTTTAAACTCGTTAAAAACGCGATGCAAAAATCATTTAAACTGAAGCCTATTCACAAAATTAAAGAACAAGAAGCAAGGAAAGCCTGCCTTGGTCGTCGCCGGTTTCCTGCTTCCTTAACAATTCGTTTATTTTTTTTTAAAGTAATTTGTGTCCCAGTACCGGTTCGTCTTAAATAATAAGCCCCGTCCAGTCGTACGGCGGCGACAACAGGCCCTCCTGCACATCGACACTCACTTTACACCCAAAAAGTACAGGAGGCGAGTACATATGGCGCAGGATGGCAATATCCCCCATCTTTTTTTTCCAGGGCAATTCACCGGGAGACCTGCATTTTATTTCGGTGGTCGTAAATGAACCCGTTGAACCGTGATTTGGAAGAACACGAAGTCTGTTTTTGTTTCGGTCCACTACCCGTGCCCGTAAGTCTCCACGCTCAATTTTCCAGTTTCCCCACTATCGGTCCACCATTTGAGTGGGGCTGGGGGGTGGGAGTCACCCCTTCTCCCTCGCCCGCCACCTCATAGTTTTCCCTCCTCGACCAGTTTGTTGAGGCCGGTGCAGATTTTCTGCAGGTTGGGGCGAAACGGCCCCCCGGGGTTGTAGAGCTGGGTGAGGAGCTCCGTGTCGGCGAAGTGGTTGAAGACGTGGTTGATGCGGCCGTGGGACTTGGCCGTCAGGTGCTTGTCCACCAGGCGGAGGAGCATGTCGCGGCAGTCGGTGAGGATCTCCGCCATCACGGCCTTGTCGAAAGTGAACTCCACCTTTCGGGGAGGGAAGGTAAGAAAGAGAGAGATGAGAGGGGAAGGGAAGAAAAAAACGTGTTTTTTTTGCTTGTGAGTTTGTGTGTGTGTGGGGGGGGGATGAGCCCAATCGGCGGCGTCGTTTTGTTTCGTTTTTGTTTCTGAAGGGAGAATGAGAAGTAACTTCGTTGATTAAAAAAAGTTGACTTTTTAATAGTATAACGACTCGACAAGTTACCCTTTACCAATCCCCAAACCCAAAATAATATCCCTGAGACATTTTACGAGGCGAGTGTGGTGTGTCGTTAGGAAAAAAAAACGGGAATGGCGGGAGTTGTCCTGGCAATATGGAGGACAGGCAGAAGCGGGGCCGCTTCGAGCAGAGCCTTTCGTTGGACACTTTTGAAACAAGCAAAGGTCTGTATCTCTGCCCGCCTCCCCACAGGAAGTTATGAAGAACAGAGATTTCGAGCAACTATGGTAGTTTTATCCTATTTCATTGAGGTTGCGTTTTATCGCCGGTTTAAAGACGGAAAGGCGTGAGATAACTTAATCTGTTATTGAACAAAACGCAGTAGAGGCTGGACGCAGCCATGTCTGGAGATGGCAACTAGATGTTTTTGCACTGACTTTCTGGAGTGTCGTTCTACATTGGAAACACAAGTCCTTCCAACTGGGTTTTTGGTGTGTTACTGTAAATATGTATACAAAAACCCCGACACTGCCTCGTGGGAGCAGGTAGGGTGATAAAATAATATGCAGTCATAAACCACCTGTTTTTTGTGTTCTTTGTCTCCATTATCCGCACTCCTGGTCCTGGAGAGATGTTCAGAGGTCCTGCTCTTTATTATAGCTGAGAATGTAACAACCTAATTGGCCTTAATTACCAGTGGTTTCAGGCAGTATATATCTTTTGAGAGGAACAAGTAAAGGCTTATTCCATGTGGAAAAGAAGATAAAGAAACAACACTTTGGCTGTGGATCCCAAAGAAGGCTCCACAGCCGAAATATTCTTTTTCTTCTCTTTTTCTACTCTTTTCAGCATGGAATGAGCCTTTACTTGTTCCTTTGAAGCCTACACATGCTGACACAGCTCCCTACTTGAACCGTCTTTTAAGAGGTCTGAGTCCCCGTATCCGAGCTCTGTCTTGTGGGTTTTGTTCCAGCTGTGTTTCTACTTGACCTCTGTATACCTAGGCTTGCCAGCTTGACCAGGTTCTGCATTTGATCTCTGACCCCGGGAATGTGCTGCCACAGGCACGTGGCCGTGTGGAAATTTAGCCAAGAGCCCCACCCACTGTCTCCTCTGCTTGCCAGCGAATTGGCTGCTCCCTTTTTTTTCTGTCTAAATGGCTTTTCATTGGCAATGAAGGTGGGAGTCTGGAACCGGGTAGAGAGCCATGTTAAAGCTGTTACCCTCCTGGATTCTTTCAAGGCCAGGCTTGAGATCCTTGGGTCAGTAAACTAAATGTGTTGGATGGCAGTGGGCCCAGTGGGCCTCCTCTCGTTTGAAGCCTTTCTTGTCAACACGTACAGGTTGGGGGAAACAACACGGTCAGTCAGGTGTTCCCAAATTGCTCATGCTCCACACTTGAGGTCGAAGGGAGGCGCAATGCCCAGAATCTGATCTTGGTGCGTTTTTACACATTACAGTCCGGCTTTAAAACGGGAAGCGGGTCTCACTGCCACAGCAGGG